GGTCTGGGGTAAGGGTGAGGAAGCAATGGGAGGGCAGAGACCTGGTCCTGGGGAGGAACATTAGGAGGCAAGTGCCTCCCCCCCTGGATGCTGGGCTCAGCTCAGACGCAGGGAAGGATCAACGGACAGAAGATTGAAGCCCTGGGCCAATTACCCCAGGAGGCTATGCCTAACTCGTGTCAGTGGAAGTCATGAAAGAGGTTTAGGTCACTCTGCCTGGGTAGCTGGGTTAGTACGGCCATAAGCTCCAGGACCTTGGTGGCCCAGGTCCATGTCTGCCCCGGGTGAGTCCCGTGGACGAGTAGGGTCAGGGCTGCCAGCTGTGCCTGTGGACACTGGGGCCTGGAAGGGAGCCAGCAGAGGGAGATTTCTCTTTACCCACCCTAATTGCCTCTCAGGAGAGGGAGGCAGAGAAAGAGGCTGACTGTGACTGACCCGCACTGTGCCCTGGGGAGACTACATAATGAGGGAGAACAGTAAAGCTAATGGGCTGGCAGGCCACTGGGTAGGAGGTATGTGGGTTTTCCTCCAGCTGCTCATTGAGACATATATTCCTGGGCCCACCCTGAGACACACTGGACCAGAATTTCCTGAGTGGAGCTGTCCATGTTAATGAAGCTCTCGGGGTGGTTTACACGTTCATTACATTGAAAGGAAAAAACCTGGCCCGTGCTTGGATTGGAAACCTCTCAGGATGTGTCCCCTTCCAAGCTGCACTGCACTAAGGGCTTCACAGACTAAAGGCAGGTGACCTCTCTGCTGGACACCTTAGCAGGGCCCTTCTGGAGGCAGAGCCTGGGCCTCAGGGACAGACACCACACACAAAATTGGGCTGAAGGGGAAGGTAGATGGGCCTGCAGGTGAGGGGAGCACAGGTCTGGATTACAAAGGAGCAGGTTTGCTGCTTGTTGTATTTCTCTGCAGGGCCTCCCTAAGCTTTGGGAAGGAGACTATGAAGTTAGATATAGAAAAAGACCTGCTGTCTGGTCCTGGCGTGGCCACTTGCCCAACTGTGTGATTCAGGCTCTTCTCTTTTGCAAGATGGGTCTGTCTTCCCACCTGGTAAAAGGAAGCTGGACTAAATCAGGGATGGGCCACCTCGACGGAACATTATATACATCTGGGAGGTTGGCAAAGTGGCTGTGTTGGGGCCCTAATTCAGACCAGTAAAGTCAGAATCTCAGCCTGGGACCTGGCCCTGGGTCTTTAGTGCTCAGCCACTGAAAGATGGTGCTTTGGAGCTGGAATCTCTGATCCCTGCCAGCTGAAAGGCCAGGGGAGAAGAATTTGGTTACTTTCCACCACAACTTACTTCCCTGCTCCACTTGGTTCGAGGCTGGCTTAAAATGTTTGCATAACTACTGATCCTGTAAGTACTTTGGAAACACTCGAAGTGACAAATGAATTGAGTTTTGAATCAGGGGCTGGCTGAGGTGACAGGAACACCAACATTTTCAAGCAGTGCTAAATTCCAGAGGCCTGCACAAGGCTGTGCAATATGGTTGCTATAGAGAAGGGGGAGCAGAGACACAAAAATCCCACCTTAGCCAATGGCCCGGAAATTCTTTATCACCAAGTCAGAAGAAAACACAGAGTTTGCCATCAACACCAAAATTTATATATATATAATTTATATGTATGTGTATATGTATATATCAGAAATATTTGAGGGGTTAAAGCAGCTGAGTTTGTAACTAAAAGGAGAATCCCCTGGAGAGAGAACTTTTCAGGCTCAGTCTCACCTTTATAAGACCAAGTTGTCTCCAGCTCCTGATATCTGTAATAAGTAGAACATTACTAAGAACATAATGCAATCAGCTGAGCAAAAAACCCCAATTTGTTTACTTTCCTAAGTCTTAACTATTCATTCAACAACATGTTGGTTGCCTCTAGTCAAGTTCTTGGTTTATAGGACCTGAATCAAAATGAAGAAAACATGACACAATGGAAAATGTCGGACTTTAGAGTCTGAAACATCCTAGTTTAAATCCTGGCCTTGCCCCAAACGAGCTGTGTGAGCTTGGACACATTTATGTAAGTCTACCCTGCCTTGGTCACTTCATTTGTGAAATGGGGATGACAGTGTCGATTTGCCTACTTCACAGACATGCTGGAAAGATTAAATGGTGCCCCTTGCATCTCATACGGTACCTGACACATAGTAGGCATTCAAAAAATAACAGTTCTAATTAAAATATTGATATTTTCCCAACATACGTATAATGAACTTTCATATATGATCTGACCTTGTTCTCACAATGCAGTGAAAAAAACAATACTTAGCTTATTTCACAGATGTTGAAGCTGAGGTGCTATCACTGAACTTGAGCCTGGGTCATCTTACTTTAACTCCAATGGAAAGAATGCTGTTCCCATTGCATTTTCTTGACCAGAGATGGGCAATGCCATTTAGTGCCAGGTCAGTAGATGCCAGGGATGGCTATCTCTGTCACTTGGGGAGACAGCAGATTATAATTGGAACATCTCTTAGGGGATGACTGGGGATTTAAGTCACAGAAGAGGTGCACAGTGGAAGTTCCACGTCAACTGTGAGTGACAGGTTCCGGACATCCCTGCATATCCCCATATCTAAACGAAGCTCACAATGCAGTCTGTTCTACTGGCAGCTTCTGGTTAAGATACTAGTTCCTATAGAGAGATATATACTTTTAATGTAAAAGCTTTAAAGAGCCACCTCCAACCTGCACAGAAATTTTAAAAACATGTCAAGTTTTATTAAGAAAATCTCCAGCACTGAGAAACAGAGTGGAATGAAGACTTGCAAGCATGAGGACACAGCCTAAGCACAACATTTGCTTTATCTTTGATTATTTATTTATTTTTATTATTAGCATTTACACTTAAATAACCAGTGAACAGCACCTGTTCTTGTAGCATAGACTTCCACTGCCATGAATCTGAATACACAAAATGGTCATGTCCGAGCTGGATGCTGATGAGAACCAGTCAAGGAGATTCTACCCCATCTAGAAGCTCCTGACCTGGACAGGACCCAGGCCAAGGCTGGATGTAGAAGGATACAGAGAATTTTTAAAATCTCACAAATTAAAATAGAATTTTAAAAAATATAAAGAGCACATAGAAATCAATTCATTTAAAAAAGGTAGGATTCCAGTTGAAAAATGGGCAAAAGGCATATACATATAACTTATATGTAAATAGCTTTCTAAAAAAAACCTAGAAATCTATCATTTCATTGGTGATCAAATATATCTAAAATAGCACCCCATTGAAGTGAGATACTCTTTTTGCCCATGAAGTTAGCAAAAGATTTGTTGTTTTAATGACTAGACCAAAAGCTGATGAGGGGGTGTTGAGCCAGGTGATGTCAATTAGTACAGACCTTCAGAAAAACAATTTGGTGGCAGGATATCCAGAGCCTTCCAAAAAAGTCGATATCCTTTGACCCAGTAATTCCATGCCTGGGCATCTGTCCCAAAGAAATCATCTGCAGTTCAGGGGGAGAAAACGTTTTTTAAAAAAATGATGGAAACATCCAAAAGGTCAACAAGGGTGAAATGGTGCAGTAGAGTATTTTATATCCTCATAAAATATTATTCAAATATTAAAAATGAGCTTTTGAAGATGTGGAGGTAAAGAGGGAAATTCTTGTATTGTTAAGTTTAAAAAAGAAGTGTCTAAGGATGACATTCACCATCAAATGGTTTTTCTAACCATTTGGTAGGAAAAACATCAAACCTCTAACACCAGTTATGTCTGAGTGGTGGGATCATGGGTGACTACTTTCCCTTCTTTCCACTTTTTTGCGTTTTCCATTTTTTTCCATTACCCAAAAAAATATATACATAAATTAAGAAAATACACTTGGACTTTTGGGCTGAAAATAAACTTTGTCCAATGACCCTGAATTTATCTGCTTCTCCCTGAATTTTCCCACATCTGCAGAGTCACCAAATATACTCAAGACTAGAGAAAAGCACCTCAGAGTCGAACGAGGTGAGTGCCAAGAGAGGCCAAGGAGAAAAATAACAGGAGATCAATAGGCAAAAGAATGAGAGAAACTCTTGCTAGCAAAAAACAAACACACAAACAAAAACTCTGCTGGAACATTTCCAACCCGTTCCATCCACCTGGCTCCGAGGGCAAATGGAGGGGGCGGCCGACCTAGGATAGCGGGGCCGACCTGAGACAATCTCCCGCACACAGTGCGTGGGATGGGCCAGCGGGCCTCTGAAACTCCAGAACTCAGAACCCCAGACAGCGCGGTGTGGCGGCATCCTTGGCACGTCCTTGATCTTTCCCCCTTGCTCCTGTACACCTCCAGAGGGCCGAGCCACGATCAGGTTTGTAAGACAAAATATGAATAAAAACAGAGCTGCAGACTCGTGGCCACCTCACACTGGATCTCTAGAAATCTAAGTCGGCTTGGCCAAAGCCATCTGTCCTGTCCATGGCGAGGTTTCTAAACCTCATTTCTGTCCCAGGGAAACTTTTAACTCCCTCCTCAGCTCCTAAGTCAGAGCCTTGGCCTGCTCTGGGCTCTGGAGTCAGACCTTCGCCTGTCCCTCGCTCTGAAGTCCTTGAGCCCGAGGAGGGCCTGTCTCGCTCAGAAGTGGAACTTTCTGGATACATGCCTGTGACTTTTCTTTCTGAACCGGGGGCTCCTTTGGGCTCATCTCCAGAGGTCCTTATGTCTCCATTTGAAGGCTCCTCCTGGGAGCCTTTCTGGGAGAGCTGAGAGCAGTTTCCCAAAGATGATGTTCTGGATGAGGAGAGGCCTGTTTTCGGGCCTGACCTTTGGCTGGGGGTGTCTCCACCTGGGGCGAGGGGTAGTGTGAGTTTCCTGTCTTGGTCTGAGCTGCTGTGTCCAGAAGCCTCACCTGACTGGCCCTGTCTCGGGCCAGCCTGTGCACCCCCTTTTTTCTCGCCTTGATTTCCTCTTCCCAACTCTGGCTGTCCCTCTCCTTCAGTTTCCTGGACCTCTGTGGCATCATTCTGTCCTCCTGGACTTCGGTCACCTCCTCCCAAGGCTTCACTCTCCACACGGACCTCAGCCTCACAGCCCTCCTCTGTGTTCTTGTCGTTGTCACCTACGCCCTGCCCCTCCCACTCCACTGCCCCCAGGTGGTGGCCTGTGGAGGGGTCTGTGTTCCCTCCTCTCTGCTGAGTGGCTGCATCCTCTGCTCCTCCCGGACCTTTACCTCTGTCGAGGGTCTGGCTGCCTTCATTCCCATCCCCCTCCTCTGTCCCCAGGCCCCCGCCTAACCCCAGCTCCAGGCCTCCCTCAGCTTCACGTACAGCCCCTGTCCCCGAGGGGTCCCTCTGAAGCGGTTCCATCCCTGCCTTCTCAGGGGCCATCCCTGCTGTCTCCCCATTAGCACACCCTGCTTTTTTCTTCTGCAGAATTTGCTGTAAGTCAAAGGCCTCTTTGATGGGTGCTCTGGCTATGCCCATTGTGTCCTTTGAGGACCCAGGGCTCACTTTCTTCCTCACGCAGGCCTCACAGGGACAGAACTCCTCCCTATCAGTGTCCCCACCCAGCTGGGTCCCCAGGGCTCCACTGAGGTTTGGCATGTCCTCCAAGGAGAAAGAGGGGGTGCCTTGGGCCCTGGTCTGCTCGGAGAAGGCCGAGAGGTTGCGCAGGCCTTGGAGGCGGTGCCTGCGCTGCTCTGTCTGCAGGGACGTCTCCCACCTGAGGGCTACCCTGGGAGGCCCCAGCACCTTCCTCCCGGCCCGGCTCTGGATCTTTCGGAGCTCCTTTTCAGTGCTGCCCTGGAGCCGCCGGCTCACGTCCTGCTGCAGCTCAGCCACCATCTGGTCCAGCAGGTCGCTGTTCTGCAGGCCCCAGCGGGCTCGGAGCTCGGCTGTGGCGCTGGCCAGGTGGGCCAGGAAGGCCTTCTCCATCTTCCTCAGCAGACTGGACACCCAGAGGGGGTCAGGGTCCAGAGACACTCTGTGAGCCGTAGAAGTGCCCTTCTCTCCAGCCCCCTGGGTGAACGTGGCCTGCGTTTGCTCATGGTCTGTCTCAGCTGCTCTGGGCAGCTTCTCCAAACCAGGCTCAGCGTTGGGCCCACTTTGACTCTCACTGGCATTTGAGTCTCTCTCAGCGAGGCTCCCAAGGGTCTCTGCACGTTTCTCTCTCCTCCCTGGAGGGCGCAGCCCAGCGGAGGAAGGGTCTCCTCCTGCTCCCTCTTCCTGCGCGCTCTCATCTTCCCGCGCACCCTCCAGGTCCTGAGAGCCAGCCCCTGGTAATGCTTGTCTCCTGGCTCTTTCCTCTTCTGGAAACCCACTGGCACCCTCTCCTTGCAGCTCTGCTCTTCCTTTTTCTTCTTGTATTTTCTCTAATTGCACTGCCTCTTCTTGCACCGTGTTTTCAGCTACTTGGTCCAGGTAACTGCCCAACATCTGCTCCCCACTGCTCCCTCCTGCCTTGTCCTTCCTGGTGCCACAAGCCTGTGCTTGGGAACTTGAAGAGGCCGTGCAACCACTTGACTCTTGGCTTCCCAGTTCCTTTGGCTCCTCTGAGGCTCTGGAACCCGGCCTCTGGTAGGGGATTTCCAAGGGCCGCTCTGTCCTCTCAGAGACCAGGGCACAGTCCATGGCACAGGGTCCGCTGCCCTCCCCTGAACCTCCAGAACCACTCCCGACATCCACACCGGAGGATGATGTTAGTGTGAAGCCCTCAGTCATAGCGTGGGACCCGGGGCCTGGCAGAGCCCGGCACCTGCCCAACTCCGGGAGGCCTGAGTCCAGCTCGCCTCGCCCGAGGCCACACCCCGGCCACAGGACCTGGAAGGTGCTCAGGAGCTCCCGGTACCGAGGAGAGTCTGTGAACCTCACTTTGCCAGCGGGAGACCCAAGGTCTTCATCGAAGAATTGGAGCCTGGCGAGACAGGTTATAAGGGCCTGGGCAGTGTGGCCGAGCCTCCTGGCCACCGGGCCTGACACTTCGGGCAGGCTGCTGGGCCGGCTTTGCTTGGAGCCCATCAGTGCTTTCATGATCTGTATGGAGGCAGAGATCCTGCTGGGAAGCACACACTGGCCCTCACCACAGCTCCCAGCTGCTCCTTCACGTACTCCAGCCTCCTTGGGGGCTTCAGCAACCCTGCTATGAGGAAGACCCTCTCCTGACTGGGGACCAGTATCATCAGTCACTGGGAGCTCACCTTCTGGTTCTGCCTTTTCACTAAGGACCCCTTCCAGAGATGGTCGTCTGGCCTGAGTTGGCTCCTCCAGGCCTTCCGGACAGTGTTTGTCAGCAGGGTCTTCTGTGGGGCCCTCCAGGCTGTCCCCTGCCACATCCATGCTGTCACCCACCACCTCATAGTTCATGGGTACAGGCTCCTCCGGGATGTTGCTCAGCCATTCACGGACCACGGCTTCTGGCGAGGCTCGGGGCAGAGCACCTGGTGTCATGACACCATTGCCCTCTTGCTCCTCCAGACCTTCCCCTCCGCCAGCCACCTGTCCCTGGAATATTCTCCCAGGCTGGCGGCCTAGGCTGGGGCTGCCCCTTCTCGCTGCTCTGACTGCTGTCCCCATGCCCCCTGACTGAGAGCTGGGGGTGTGTGGGCACTGCACGTTTAGCAGTTCTTCCCCCTGCTCGGCACCCCCTGGCCCCCAGTCAGCACTGGGGACTCTGTTGCTAATGCATGAAGGGTGTTTCTTGGCAGAGGGCCGTGCCCTGGGTGGAGCGGGACAGTACCCACTGCACAGCAGGCAGGGCTCAGAGAGGGGCCCCTGGCTGCCCTGAGGCTGGGAGGCCTGCAAGGCCTGCGCCTCAGCACCGGGGGTCCTGCAGACCAGGAATGTGCCCATCTGTGAGTAGCAGCCCCCTCGGTGGGCTCCTGGCTTCCCCCACTCATGCTGTCCAACTGGCAGAATCCAGGGCCGGGAAGGCTTGGGGTCAGCGCCCCTGGAGCTGAAAGAGTCCGACGTGTTGGAAGGTGCGTGTGCCCTGAACTCGGGATTCCCTTTGGTCTCAGCAGAGGGAGAGAATGGGGGGTAGAAATTGGAAGCACAGTCTGAACTGCTCACAGGAGTAAGGGGGGCACTGCTGACCCCTCGTGCATCGTGGGAGTTACGAGAAGCAGAGGAGGGTGCTCCTGGGTCCCGGGAAGCTTGGTTCTTGGCGCTAGATGAGCTTCCAGAAAAGCATGATGCTGGGCCGGCTGGGCAGACCCTGCTGGTGCTAGAAGGCCCCAGCGTTTGCCTGGACACAGGTGAGTCGAGCTGGCAGTGGGTGTCCCGTTGGCTGTGGTGCTGCCTGGGGTGGCCTCTCTGGGCCCCTCGGCCAAGGCCAGAAATGCTGGGTGAGGACAGGGTACTAGCTCTGCTCTCCTGCTTCGTTCTCCTGCCTTTGGCTGAAGCGCTGGTGGAAGGTAAGCAACAGCCCTCTACAGTGTCCCCAGAGCCAAAATGGCCAGAAGCCAGGGGCAGTCTTGCCCCAGACCCATCCTTGGCCTGCGGGTATCCAGTGCCCTGTTCACTCCCCTCGGCCTGTGGGTCCTCGTTCCTCAGAGATGAGGGATTCACAGTGGAGGAGCAGGGTCCTCCCTCATGGGTGGCCTTCCGTGGGGAAGTCACTGCCCTTGTCTTGCTGGGGCGGCCGTGGTGCCACTCACCCCTTTCGCTGGACTCCTTGTGAGACCTAGAACTTGCTGTGGAGTCAGAAAGGGCACCTGCCACGCCTTGGGTCCTGGGTTCCAGGTAGCAGTGGCCCCTGCTGCCCGGCCCTGCTCCCTCTGGACCTAGGCCCTCACCAGCCCCAGGTGTGCCACCAGCTTCCCCGCCTGACCCTTCCTGGGAGGCAGCCCCAGAGGCCGGGTGCAGGCCACAGCTGCCCAAGCTGCCCTCTGCGGAGCAGCAGCAGGAGTTTGTTTCAGAGCCTTCTGGAGGTCTGTCACTGGAGGCAGGGCTGACACTGTCCTTGCTGCTTCTTTTCCTGCCAGCCACCCCTTGACTCCAGGGGCCCCTGGAGGGGGATTGCTGGGCCAGCTTGGACCTCCCCTGAGAGGATGTCCCCTCTCCCTGGGCCGGATACAGGGGGTTTGTCCAGATCTCGTATCTGGATGCTGGCTGCCACTGGCCTTGTTCAAAGATTTCCATGCATCCTGCCTCTCGGGTCCCCAGTCCCTTTGCCCCAGGCTCTGAAGAGCCCCCAGGGTGGCCCTCCCACACACAGTGGAGGGGGTCCGCCTCCCCCAGAGCAGAGCCCTCCTCACTGGCCCTTCTGGTCCTCCTGGACCACAGGAGCATGTCGTTGCCTAGTAGGTGGAATCGGACTTTCATCTCCACAGACAGGCTGCCATCCTCGTTCAGGTGGACCTTCTTCTCAACGTCATCACCAGCCACCAGAGGGCCGAGCTGGGCAGGCGTGTCCTGAGGGTGCCTGTCGGGACCAGGGCCCATCTGGGTGCGATGCCGGGACGCCAGAGGCTCGCTGAGACTAGACCTCTCGGACAGCAGGGAAAACCGCCGCTGCCTGCTGCCCAGCCCGGACCTTGAGTGGATCACGCTCTGCTTGGCCTTCGGGCCCCAGCTCCCTGGCACGCAATGCAGAGTAAGAGGAAAGAGGAAAAGACAGTGAGCTGCTGGGGGTGCTCCAAGGCAGGAGCAAAAAGGCTAGTCATGAGCCTTTCACACCTAAACACCCTTGCTACCTCCCAAACCACACAGTCAGGGCAGAAACCCTTCTAGAACAAATATCCAGTCTGCTGTTTTGGAATGAGCATAACAAAGTGAGATGAACCTGAGTCTGAATTCAATCTCAGCCCCACCACTCCCTAGCTGTGTGGCTTTTGGCAGAGCCTCTTCTCTGAGCTGTAAAATAAGAATAACAGTATCTATTTGGAAGTATGTTTGAATAATGCAAGGCAATGCACATAAAACTTCCAAAAAAAAACTTCCTGCAGAGTAGCTAGAGCAAAGTGGGTCCTCGATAGACAGCAGAGGAGGTGAGCAGAGCTGCAAGTGCCCAGAGCTAACTCCTAGCCCTGCTCACGTCCACCCCCAGCACAGGAAGCAAAATCAATAAGCTGCTGCAAACGTACCTGCTTGTAAACTGTAAAATGCTTTGCAATTATTAGTGGTGATTTATCATCCTAACACTCATCAAGCTTTGGGGTTGATAAATGATTGCAGGGAAGGACCTGGACACACAATAGCAGGTCCTGATAGTCAAGCCTGCACCCCAGCCATGAAAAAGGTGAGAAGGGGCTACTGCAAATAGAAAAAAATGACCTCAAGAAAGAATGAGCCCCTAGTACTTTCTCATTTCATCTCCTGAGCTAACACTTGACAAGAGGAAGGGGCTAGTGGAGCGTGAGCCTGTGGCCAGCAGAAGAACAGACTGCCATGCACCCATCTGAGCAGGAGAGGGTTTTGTCAAGCTCTGCTCTTTCATAAGCACTGAATGAGACTGGGGCCTCCTCCAGAGAGGGGCTGTGGCTAGTGGGTCTCTGCACCCTCAGTACCTGGCATGTGGCAATCACCAACACCACTATTGTCATTTCTTAACAGCTTTTCACAAAGGGTATTATTTTGTTTGCTTGCCAAAATTTGCCTGTTGTCATGCCAATAATTTTGCTGAAACTTTTCTATAGTTGTTAGTTGCATTTTCAAAATAATGCATTTTTTTTTTTTTTAAAGCAAAGCCTAAACGCTAGCCCATAGTAGGCCTTTGGATGAATATATAGTTGGATGCTTAGACTGGTGGGTTGGATGGATGATCGATGGGTATCATTAGTTTTAGTCCATTTGCCCCCCACTGTTGTCTAAGAGAATCAAGACTCCCGAAAGATGCAAATGGCACACACCTGTGGCCCACTGCCTCCACAATCTCATGCCCACCATGGTCTTTAATAAAGCTTCAGATCCTAGGAACTTAGCATTTAACGTCTCCTAATCCCTATTCTCCAAATACCAGACTCTCCTCTCTCACACGCAGTCAAATGTTCAACCAGGTTAAGGTTGATGGCAATGAGAAGAGGAGGGAGAGAGCCCCCAAACAACTGGTTGCCCAAGAATCAGGGCCAAAAGCCGGTGTCCTAAATTATCCAGAAAAAATATCTGCCCAGCTCTCCTGCACCACTATCCATTGCAAATAGCATTGGGGAAACTCCAAAACCAGCTCACCATTTTTGTTCCTTGAAGTCTGTCCTGATAAAGTTCCAGTCCCACTTCTTCTGGCACCTTCCATCACTGGAGGTCTGAAGGGCTCATGACCAGCACACACTAGCACCGAGGGACTATGCAATAGAGCCTTCAGAGAATCCACCTGAAGGAGAGTGTTGAGTCAGGAGGCCTGGTCTGCAGAACATCCCTTCTGCTCGAGGAGACATGGGTAGAGGAAGAATCCACTCACTCTGTCCCTTTCCTGATGTTTGCCCATCCCACCCTAGATTTCTGATCCAAAGGAAGGATCCCATCCTCTAGCCATAAAGCCTCCATAACCAGCAGGGGACTAAGGTCCTACCATCATAACCTTCCTCTCTACCTACACCCTTCTGGTCCGAGGCTGTGGATTAGAGGTTATTCTGGATGCCTCAGCTGTAAAAGACTTCATGAAGCCTTTGGCCTGCTTCCCTGCCCACACTCACACCCTCCAGAATGGGCATTTTTTAAAGCAACCAGCTTCCATATGGAGACCTGATTCACTCTCACCCTTTTCCCAGGCATTGTCCTATCTTGGGTTTGATCTGTTTTTCAGTATGATCTGAACCCATCACCTCTGTTTCTGCCCCTAGTGGAGTGGAGAAGGGCAAGGCACTGTTCTATGCACAGGTAGCCCTTCCGTCCCAGGCTCCTCCAGGGGTTCTCTAGGCTCCCCCTTGCTGCTGATGCCTTCCCCCAACCAGCAGGATGGCCTGGGCTGGGGGTTACAGGGGAAACTTCAGTGCTGGGTTGCATTCCAGGAAACAGGTCCCTGCTTTTAGAAAAATCTCACCTGGCCCTGAGGCCCCTGCATATCTGAGGGTTTGCACTATTTATAGCATAACATTGTAATGAGAAGTGTTGGGGAATTTAGTTCCATCTTTAAAGTGCTGAATCTGTTCTTTTTTGTTTTCTCAAATTAGAAGGGTATGTTCATTAACAAGGAAATGAAAAAGAAAGAAGGCTTGCATCTTCTCCTCCCCAAATGACATTAAATTTCCTGTCCACTAGATCTTTCAACCAGTTAATTAAAAGTCTGTTTCAAACTACCAGGTTCATTTCTCTTTTGATTTAGATCTCTGGTCCATTGCAAAAATGCAAACATAACCCAACTCTACCAATTTATAGATGTAGCCATACTTCTAGAAAACCAGACTTTTTCAAGGAAGAAAACAGTATTAAAGGCTAAATGATGCTCGTGTTTTTAGAAAGAGGCAGAGGTCTAGGACCCACGGGGAGAAAAAAGAGCATTACTGAGAGTGTCCATCCATTTGAGGACCTGCAAACAAATAATAGTGACAGAGCCTGTCCTGGGTGCAATGAGCTCCCTTTGTTTACAGAAACACTGATAGCTCTGTAGTAAATCTATACAAAAATACTCTAATTTTTTCTTCAATTAATTTATTTTGCACCTGCTTTCTCCCTCTCACCACACCTGCTAAACTGTAGCCCATTAATTGTAGGGACTGAGTCTTATTTGTCTGTAACATCTGCATGTAGCACATGCCAGCACATAGCAAATGCGCCACAGTTTAGAAATGTTCTTAGGTTTCAACTCTGAAATAATTCGAGCTGGCCCTATCATTTGCCAGCCATACAACTATGAGCAAATTACTTAACCTCTATGCCTCCATTTTTTTTTTTATCTCTACAAATGGTATAATATTAACCACCTCATGAGTTTGTGTGGTGGAGGCTATGCCTTAGATTTGTCAATGTCTATCCCACTGCTGCAGGGCTTAGAGAGCTCTAAACACGTTTCCAGGAGACAGGGACAGCTCCAGCAGCAGTGGCCAGGCCCGGCGCCCCGGTGCTCCTGCGTGCCAAGGTACAGATGTGGCAGATCCTAGGTCTCAGCTTTAGAAGCCTGGATGCCACAACCGAGAAGTCCGCTTGAGCTCCATGATCACAGCAGCTTCAGGCAGAGGTAGTGGCTTCCTGCAGAGCGCCAGGCGCCCTTCCTATAAACCCAGACGCCGTCCCTCCAGGTGCCCAGCGACTTGGAAGCCCCTAATGCCCTGTATTAAACTGCCGTCTGCTTAAGGTAATTTCTGTTTCCTGCACTGAACTCTCACGCAATAGGTTGGCTAATAGGAGAATTAGATAAGAAAATAATGCAGATTTGCCAGGCAGTGTCTGGGGCTCACTAAGTGCTCGCTAAACGGCAGCTAATAATATGAATATCAATTGTTCGTTTGATGAACTGACTGAATGTCTCCACGCTACCCACCTTTAATTAGTAGCAGGGCAACAGCCTCTTTTTAAGGATAACCTCCCCATCTCATCTCAGTATTTTGATCTGCAGTCCAGAGAACGTTTTTAAGAAAGCGTCATGCCCCGACCGCCTACCTTTTCCCCATCGGGCGAGTACACCTGCTTCACGGGAAAGTGCAGAAGGCCTGAGGCTCTGCTGAGAAAGGCCGACAGGCTCCTCGTATCTCTGGGACTGAGAACCACTGTCTGCTGGGATCGAGGGTCCCCATTCTTAACCAACATCACCCTCCTTGGAGCTTTCGGATTTTTCCAGAAAGAGGATGACCCGGACACCTCACACTGGCCTTCAACATCCTGAGACTGCTGAGCAGAGGGGTTTCTGCTGCATGGCCGGCCTGGTCCACCGGGGGTCTTGGGGAGCTTCTTATCCGAGCAGAGGTAGCAACCACCATCTTCCAGCTGCTCCAGGGCGCTGAGGCTGTGCAGGCCCCTGGGGGTGGTGACGGAGCGCACCCCAAAGGAGAGAGGTACGCGCTGGGAGAGCTCATCCATCAGCGTGCCAAAGCTCTTGAAGGTGCGTTGGTGGACAGCCAGGCGAACCCCAGAAAACCGGGGGTCCCCTCGCTTGAGGAATGTTATCTTTTTAGCTGGCGTGACCTGGGTGACAGAGGGGTTCCGGGCCATGGGAGGCAGGAGGCACTCGCGGTAGCTCGGGGCCTGGGCACCCCTGGGGGTGCTGTTCATGGCGTGGAGGCCCAGGCAGCTGAAACTGAGCAAAGGGAGAGAGTCGGAGGGCAGCCCAGACATTCTGCGTTTCCTCTCCATTTCGCTACAGAGCTGCTTCCTGCCCACTCCAAATTTGTTCCACTCTGCTCTGCAAAGGCAGGTTAATCCATTTTGGTGGAAGAGAAGGAAGGCCAAAGGTTTGGCATAGGACAGATCTGAGTTCAAATTCTACCCTACCCCCCTTACTCCTTGTGACTCAGGAGGTGAATGACATGCTCTGTGTTTGGTGGACCCGCCTGTCCACTGCAGCCACATTCACTCTGCAGAGTGGTTATAACAAGCAAATGAGTTTATGCATATAGAACATGGGCACAGAGCAAGCACCAATACATCGTGGTTCCGTCCCTTCCTCTTCCTGTTTCTCTTACCCGGCTCTACCATCTGAACTCCTCTGAATGCCTTAGGGTTTATCTCCTAAAGAGGTGGGTAAATAAAGGCAACACCATGGAACCCAGATGCGAGAACACAGGGCAAGCAGTGAGGAGGCCTGGGCACCTTGCCCACTCTCTCTTAATGGAAAATCTAATCCCCAGCTCTCTGGACTTTCATCCTTCAGCTACCAGGTAAGAGGGCCAGACCACAATCCCTTAGTCTCAAACCCTTCAGGGACCAGAGTACAGACAAGGAGACTTGTAACTCAAAGAGGATGTCACCCCTCGAAGTGTGCTTTCTCCATTATATGGTATGTTTGCTTTCATATGAAAAGAATGCTCCCTCCCCCACATCTCTTCAGAGTCTTTGGAAGATGTGTGATGAACCCTATGGGTGAGTACCCCAGCTATCTGCCGTCAGCATGGGAGCCTGGGGGTTCAGGGCAGCCATGGTTGGGTCAAGGCCATTCGTCCAACTGTTCATTTTTATTCCCACTGTGGGGGAGCTCCCCGCCTCACCTGGGATTCTTCAAGAAGCCTGACTTTTCCTGTCCAGGTCACCATGCCATGCTCTGTTCTATGAACCTATTGGCCAAGTCGTCCTGAAACTCAGTTTTTACCCAGATATTTCCTGTGCCCTAAGCCCTTAAAGAGGCTCGCAGAAAAATCCCAGGCCCCTTATCCCATAATTCAAGGCCTTTCTGGCTTCCTCCTGTCTACCCCCTAAGCCTCGGCTCCTGTTCTTTCCTACAGGAATTCACTCCAATCAGACTGCCTGACTCAAGCTCCCCCTGCATAGCCAGCCCCACCATTCTGCACTCCGCCTTGGCTTCCCTCCTTTGTGGAGCCTTCCCCAGCTCCCAAGTCCCAGGAAACCCCTATCTTCAGCATGGTTCCCCAACATTTCCCACGTCCTGGGCCATATCCTTCCTGGCCAACTACCCCAAGGCCTGGGAGGCAGAACCCATGCCCCCGAGGGTGCCCAGCCCCAAGCTTGGCACATAGCAGGGGCCCAGGAAATCTGTACTGATTAATAAGGCAGGTATTTCACAGAGCCTCATACAGAGCCCAGGCTTGTCCGTAAGCTGACATGAGTAATTATGATTAGGTGAGGAGTCGTCGCTGCTTTCATAGGACCCTCCCCACTGTGCATGCTCACTGAAGGGGACCAGGGCCTTCCCTGCTGCAGCCGTGGTCCCCACTTACAGTTCCTCCAGAGCCCACATCTCCCTTCCTTACCTGCCTCTCTATTTCACCCCATTCCTCTGAGGTGAAAGGATTCTTCTCTCATTTTCAAAATCTTGGTGCACAAAGAGGCCTTGTAATCCTCTCTCATCTCTGGCACAAACTTTATAATTAGGTTTTCCAGCCTCCTCCCTCCCAACTAATCCCTTTAAGCTGCTTTCTCAGACCTCCCGCTAACAGCCCTGCAGCTGCCTGTGATGTTACTCCACGTGCTTTCCCTGAAGGCTAACTTTTCTTCCCACTTGATTTTCATTCGGACTTGTGACAATGAGCATCCTTCTTGGCCCTCACCGAGGAACGAAGGGGAAAAAGAAGGGACACTGAGGGATGTAGTGATGCTGGGGGACATGGTGAGGGGGACAGTGACATTGGGGGACAAAGTAACATTGGGGGGCCATGTCCCCCATAATCACTATATTCCCCAGCATCACTGTGTCTCTCAATGTCATTGTGTCCTTAGTGTCATTATGACCCCCAGTGTCACCATGTCCTTCAGTGTCCCTATGTCTCCCAGCATTGCCATGTCCACAGCCTCCCTGTTGCCTCCAAGGGTTTCTGCTCCTTGTAGCCCATTTCTGGGCAGAGAGGACCTCTCTAGATCCCTCTCGGACCTGCAGGTTGAAGGGGAATGTCCAAGGGCAAAGCAGAAACCTGGCCTGAAGGGAAGGCGATGATCATTTCGTGGCTACTTGAGGACTCAGGCAAAAGCATAACTTCACAGCATACACTCAAGTGGCTGACTGCCCCTTTCTTCTAGAAAATAACATCTTTCTGAATTGGAATTCTCGATGTCCAAATTCTCAATGTCAAAACTGGAGTTTTGAAATAAAAAGAGAAATTGCCCCCGGGAGATCCTAAGTACCAAAAATCAGGTGACAGCAGCGGGGGTCCACCATGAAGGCTCCCTCCCAACATGAGACTGAGCACAAGGCCCCAAGAGAAGTTATTGATCATCCCTCCACTACCTGCACTCATATAACAGACAAGATTCTGCATTAACTTTAGGTGGCTCGCACACATGCACACTTGCATACATGCACACACATACAACATGCACACATATGCGGGAGCACACGCACATATACACAAACAAATTAGAAAAAAATGTAGGACTTAGGAGAAGGAGCTGGAGGATCAGGGATGGCCTGGACCCATCAACTGTGAAAGGTAAGGGCATATAATACTATAAAGCTCACCCCACGCCTCACAGGAAGATGAGGTGACTGTCTGCTCTTCAGCCTCATCAATAGAAACGAACAGGTTCAGCTTCATCCCCATGATGGGCCACTGAGGAGTGTGATCTCCTCTTGCAGCCATGAGGAAGGGAAGCAAGCTGATTTTCTTTTTCAAAGAGGTGTAACAGGCTTTATGCTGAGTCCTAGAAATATAAAAATATAAAGATAACTGAGACATGGCACCCATCTTCAAAAACTTCATGTTCTAGTGGCACAAGTAGGTACATTATTAAAATGTAGGATAAGAAATGTTCTGAGACATGGATACAAAAAATAGAAATAGAAACAGATATATTATACACAGGGCATGACTGGAAGCAGATTAAGAGGAATGGCAAATCGAGGAAGACTTCCTGGAGGAGATGACCTGAGCAGAGACCTAGAGGACAATTTAGGGATTAGCCAGAGAAGGAAGAAGCTGGGATCAGCATGGCAAATAGATATGGCCTTGGTGCCAACTCTGACAGGCTGGGGTGGGTTGGAAGGATGGTAGAAAAAGGTACCCAGTCTCCCTGTACCCTGTGATCAGCTAGCAGTGCTACCACAGCATCAGGGCAGAGAAGGACCACACAGGCACCAGACATTTGCCATCCCTGCTCCGCTCAGTGCGTTCAGGGTGGGGGTGTATGTGCAAAGGTGCAGTGAAGGACCCAAACTTGGTCGTTCACTAAGGGCTTTCCCAGTGGATATCATCTGATATTTCAGAAGACCACTCGGACCCCTCGGGCAGTGGTAGGGAGAGTGGAGAAAGTTATTGGTGAACGAGGGCAACTATAGTGGAATGAAGACAAAGGGGACTGATCGAGCAGAGGCTGAGAAGAAGCCACCGGCAGGACTGGGTGACCAATCAATGGGCTGGGGGGAGGAGGGGTGGCTGGGGGGAGGGTTAGTACAGTATGGTTCTCTGGTTTCACCTGGGTGCAAGGAATGAGAAGTAGTTTTGGAGACAGGGGTGGGGGAGCGATGGGAAGGGCCACCCTCTCTGCAGGAGCGGGCACACTGCACGTGGGTGCCCCTGACTCCCGAGTTGTCGGGGATGCTGAGTGCCCCTGCAAGGATGAAGCAGCACAGGCACAGTAAGATCAGCTCTGGCCCTGGGCACCTCAGCAGCAGAACCCAGAGCCTTGTCCACTGAAGTCTGCAAGGTTAACGACTGACAAAGCAAACTCAGCGGTCCTTACATTTGATCCAAGAACAGGTCAATGAAGAAGGGGAGGCTGGTAACAGAAGATGGGGAAACAGAGGAGAAATAAAAAACAGGTGTCACTGCAGGTCAAGCTGACCAACTGCCCTGGTATACCCAAGATGCTCCAGTTTTAGAACTGAAAATTCGAGAGCCAAGAGCCAAGTGTTCCCTGCCACTTCCTGTGCCTGGCTAACTGGAACAGGTTGTTCACCCTGTCTGGATGCCTTCACTGTGGGCCTGGCCAGGTTCCTAGGACCAGGTGGCCTCTTTTGGGCACTGGTCCTGCTGGCAGTGCAGCCGAGATAAGTCAGCGCTGCCAGTGGTTGCCTCATGGAACCAGAAAAAGATGCCACTGTGAAGGATAGGAAACCAAGTCCTGATGACCTGGGTGAGCTGCTGGGTGCAAGGAGGCTTGAAAGCAGAACCTAAAGTAGAAAATGGGACTCTTCAATTATGGGAGCTGACAATTCTTTGCTTAGCTTAATGGATTTGAGTTGAAAACAGGAAAGGACACAGACCCCCAGGAAGCAGCTGCATTTCTGAGTTAGGAAGGCCCCCGGGGGCAGAGAAGGGAGTGGGGTGAAGGTCTGAAGCCCCTGACAAATCCTCCCACTTTGTCCCCATAGGGACAACTGTCCCATTCCTACATGCCAGAGAGGGTGGGAGGAGGAGAGAAGAGAACATGGGCCCTCAGAGGTGGAGCCAAGGCGAAGGGTCCACTGATGTGTCACGTGGATTTGTCTTTCCTTCACTCCTTTTCTCCTTTCAAAATCCTGAGTTTCCTCTACCTAAGCAGGGGCAGGAGACTTGACCTCTCTGACAGGGCAAGCTACGTAGGCGAGCAGGCCTGGCCCGGAGGGAGGGCGCTCTGAGTCCAGTCAGCGCCTCTTTGCTGCATCATGAACCAGGCGGGCCACAGGC